CTTGTCAGAAGGTTGCAAAAGATGATCACATGATTCCAAGACACGGCAACTGTCATAAATGTGAGTCAGTTGTCAAGCATCCGAATGTAAATCATGTGACTATGGGGATATTGCAATGGTCATAAGAGTGAAAAATGGTCATCAGTCACTTTTTCCAGTGTTGTAACTTTGAATGGTTACTAAGTGAACGGTTGTAAGTTGAGAACTACCTGTACAGGTAGTCCTCAAATACAGCCACAATTGAGCCCCAATTTTTTTTGCTAAGCAAGACAGTTAAGTGAGTTTTGCCCCATTTTATGACATTTCTTGCCACAATTGCTAGAGGAATCACTGCAGGTAAATTAGTATCGCGGTTGTTAAATGAATGGCTTCCCCATTGACTTTGCATGTCAGAAGGCCTCAAAAGGTGATCAAAGGCCCCTGGGACCCTGCAGTCGTCATACATGCCAGTTGCCAAGAATCTGAATTTGGACCATGTGACCAGGGGCCCAAAGTATGATCCTAAATATGAATTTTTCAGTCCCTAACACTAAGCAAAGGGGTGTGAGTTGAGGGCTGCCTGTATATGACATCTTTTTACATCTGGGTGGAGAGTAATACACTTACATATTAAAATTGTGACTCTAATGATGGAGTATGTTCTGTCATCTCTGATATAAAATGAAACTGTCAAACAAATATTGTGACTATTCCAACCAAAGTGTGTAATTTTGTTTTATTGGCAGCTCAAAGACAAGCACAAGCAGACTGGAGGGAATGTAGGCGCCATGGAAGAACTTGAAAATGCTTTTAGCTTAGCTGAAGAGTCCTGTCCTGGAATCTCAGATAAGCTCATTGCATATATGATGGAACGAGTGCAAAGGTAAAATCAGCAAGAGCCGTTAGCCTGATCAAACTTAATAAGTGTCAGAAGAGCTCCCTATTCCTAATTTATGCTGCCTTTTGTTTGGGCCCACAATATTTAGGTAAGTGCTATAGATTGTGGATTCCTTCCTGTATACTTATAAGCTTCTACAACTTAGTCCTTTGAATGGTCTCTGGACCGGATACTGAACATCCATTCTAATCGTAATCCACAACAATTTTGCCTAAGCATGACTTTGAATATTTAGCCCAAAGCAATGCTCTACCTGTTCATTATTGAATTTGAAGGAAGATTATGGTATACATCAGGGGTCCCCAACCCTTGGTCTGCAGCCTGATGGGAATTGAGCAAGCAGCGGGCGAATGCATGAAGCTTCATTTGTGCATGTGTGGTATTAGGTTGCACGTGCGAAACCATCCCCTTCCCCCTGCTCCCACCTCCAGTCCATGTAGCCAGAAAGATTGGGGACTGCTGGTATACATGACTTCTGCATATAATATCTGTAAAGTGAAGATGAGCCACCTGAGACTTCAGGCCACGGGTGACATGCAAAGCTCTGCCATCTTCACTGTTGAATTTCAGCTTGCCACTATTTTGAGGCACAGCACATATGGAAAAAGTACAACATACAGAGACTCTACCACCTAAATAAGGAATCCCCAGTGTGCAATTTACATGCCTATGATATTATCCACTTTTGGTTTAATAACATATGGTGGAGAAGCCTGATAGATTTCTCTTGTTCATCCTCAGGTTCTCACACAGTAGGAACCATCTGTCTTCAGCATGCTGATGAGTTGCTCTTTATTGCTCATGAAAAGGGTGACTTTCCTCCCACCCCACCCCACCAACTCCACAAGAACTGCATCTTGAATTGTTACCTGCTATTGGATGTTAACATTGTGCTATGAATTCCCAGTCATTTCAGAGCCTTTATGTGTGTATGTGTCATGCTCCCATGATGGGATTTGTAAAGCAAATGATCATGGACTACTTTGCAGTACTGGGAGGGTAATTTCTACAATGCATTTCATGAAGGTTTTTAAACAATAACCAATTTTGCTCAGGTCAGACCTTGTTTCAAAGCAAAATCCTGACTGCTGGAAAATCAAAACTCTTAGACAAACACATTCCAAGAAGGAAGGAGACGCTGGTGGGTTTCTCCTCTGGCCAGAGGCAAAGTTTACTTAAGCACATAGATGATCTCTTGCCAGTCAGCTAGATAGCAATAGATGGCTGTTCCTCAAGAGAGTCTTCTTTAGACTTTCTCAGTTTAATTATACAGGTGATATTTTCCTCCTCAGTCTGCTTGCCCCTTTTGCGAGGCAGGCTTGTCTGCTGCTGTAATCTGCCCTTGGCCACGTTTCAGTGACAATAGCTCAAAGCAGAAATGCTTGTAGTGTGGCAAGGCCTTTTGCTGCTATACAGTATTCATTACTGTCAACTCATATCTGATTCAGTACTTTTGGCAAGCAAAGTATTATGGACTTACTAAAGAGGAGAGACATTAACTACTCCTACAAGTTAGAGAAACAACAGAGTCCTTTCAAAGTTTCTACACGTTTAGAGCTTTGTTTGTGAAATGTGGCTAAAATTTTCTGTTAAATTGAAATAAAGTGTGGTGCCAACCAGTGAAGAATATTCTAAGTGACGTTCCTGAAACGTGTTCTTTGTTCTGTCTCTTTAACTGTTTACTCTATGTTGGACCTGAATAGTTTTAGAAGGTATCCTATCATTTTCTAAGCAATCTGAAACTCTTAAGTAGGAAGTTAGCAGATCTATAGCAGTATTAAAAATGAAAATGGGAGTATCATTTTCTAATTATGTAATATCTGATAGTGCCATAGATGACTTGAGAAAGACATTACTGCCTAATAATTACATTTGTGGGTGGAGGTGGATCTTCCAGTTCTGTTTTATCCTCCCTGAAAAATGCTCTGTTGATAGTATTCAGATATTATGCTGGGACATAATGCTTTTAAAAATATCTGGGAAAGTTGTATTTCAGCCACACTCATGAATTTGAGTCCAATTTCTTTACCATTATTTCTCCAAATTATTTACACAAAATATAAAAAATATACCAATGGAGAACAGGAAGCTGCTATTTTGTGCTGTTCATAAAAGGTACTTTATGCTAGTCCACACAGTATTGCCAGAATGCTCCCCAAAGTGACTCCAATACTCAAAGTAACAATTATTGCTATTTAAATAAGCAGCAAGAGGGATCTGCCACTTCCAATAAAATTAACTTGTAAAACAATGTGACTTTGCTTCTTTATTCATTAGTTTTATGTTTTGCCTTTTTCCCAGGAGCTCAAGATAAGTACCTGCTCTTCTAATTTTTGCACAAACAATCCAATATGGTGGTTTGGGCTGAATGTTAGTTATCTATCAACAGGACTTCTATGCCTGGGTGTAGAGTTGAACCTAAGCCTCCCCAGTCAAACATAACTGGTATTATTGTTTGATGGGATGAATGCAAAGTTTCAAGTTGATGCTAATTAAGGGCCAGAGTTTACACATGCACTTTCTTTAGGTTATTTTTTTAAACTGAGGATAAAGCTTGATCTTAGGTAAGCTATATGAATTAGTCAACTGATTTTATAGGCAACTATAAGTTGTAACCCTATCAGCTACATAAAGCAAAGGATATTTAAAGGGACTCAAATTGCCAGAGCTTTTACAAATACTGAATATTCCTGTCAGATAATGTATTTGCTATAATCTTATTTTGGTGATAGCTTACGCTGGCTATTTATATATCCAAATACACATCAAATAATCCTTTGTGCTAGTCAGTTAAAAGAAGCTGAAAATATTAGTTTCTCATAAAAAAAAATTCCCTAAGAGGAGGAAGGTCTATTGGTATCAGACAGTGTCCTAAATCGGGGCTCTCCAATCTTGGCAACTTGAAGATTTGTAGACCAACTGCCAGAATACCTCAGCCAGACATGCTGGCTGAGGAATTATGGGAGTTGAACTCCACAAATTTTAAAAGTTGCCAAAGTTGGAGAGCCCTGTTCTAAATGCTTACAAAGAACAGTAACAGATATAATGGGTTCAGAGATTAAGATGAAGCTAGACAGTCTTAACTGTGCCAAAGGTTTGTTAATGGTTATAATAAAGAGTAATGGTGACTGGCAAACTTAAAAAGGGTTGGATATTATTACATGGCTGAAGTTTGTTTTTTTCTTGGATGGTTGGTGGGGTGGAGCATCTGACATGGGGAACTCAGGTACCTGATTCTGCCAAAGTCAAGAAGGATGTGCCATAGTGTTTTTCTATTTAATGCCGATATATCTCAGGTGTCAATTGGGGCAGAGGGCAATATATTGGGGCAATATATTTTTAGCCTTATGTTTAATAGCAATACACTTAGACTTATATACTGCTTCTCAGTGCTTTATAGCCCTCTCTAAGCAGTTTACAGAGTCAGCATATTGCCCCCAACAATCTGGGTCCTCATTTTACTGACCTAGGAAGGATGGAAGGCTGAGTCAACATGGAGCCAGTGAAATTCGAACTGCCAAATTGCAGGCAGCCAGCAGGCAGGCAGAAGTAACTTGTAGCACTGTATTCTAACCACTGTGCCATCGCAGCTCTCTTTAAAGAAGGATAGAGTAGCATAATTTCAAACACTGAGGTGCATGTGCATGCTAGAGTAGTTTCATAGCTCGCAAGCATATATACACTTAGAAAAACCTTAGGATCAGATGTTCACAAACAGGAAAAAAACTTACAATGTCTAACTTGAATCTATTGAATGATTAGGAGAAAGCGCAGGGAGAGAAGGTGACTAAATCCTTGCTAAAGTTTACTAGAATATGGTGAATGTAAAAGTAGCTTATATACTTGGATGAGTTTCCTTAATAAATAAACAAAAATCCAACAATCCCTGCCCCCATAGGGGTTGAAATTGTCATGTATTATTCATGAAATCCTATCAATTATTAGAAAGCCCAGATTACACATGAATGATTACGAGTGAAACATATTTAAGAGATCTATAATAGTTTATTTCCAAAAACAGACTAATAAATAAAAACAGAAGATATAATGAATGGCCATTATGTTAAATAAATCTAGGAATTTGCTCCTCATCAAGAAAGATGTCAGAATTTTCCCTTTTCCCTCCATGGGAAAGAAACCCTAATTTTATATAGTTTTTGAATCAATTCCATGAGTAATGAACTGAATCAAAATTTTTGTAAAGTCCTATTTTCAGCCTCCCACATTTCAAAATATAAAGTTTAAGATAATATTTCACCCCACACTGCTTCTCCTACAGTACATCACCCATCACCACATTGTTGCTCAATCTAACAGAAATAGAGCTATATTAACACCTCTGTAGCTACTTTACACTGCTACCCAAAGACAATATATGGCTCTGTGCCATGTAAGAAACATGGAGCCTTCTTGCTAAGGTAGGTTTTTTTCACCTTCACTGAAACATACCATATACACCAGGGCTGTCCAACTCCCAGCCCGTGGGCTGGATGTGTCATATGCTGGCCATGCTCACACCTGGTTTAGGGAAGGGGAGAAAAGTCCTGACACATCACATGACGCTGCCGTGATGACGTGAGTTTGACACCCCTGATATAGACAGACACATCAACTCTGATTTCATGGCATAGGACAATGGCACTAAAGTACAGGAGATAACTGAATGGAATATCTGTTGTTTCTGACGTAGCTGTGTGATATCTAAATTAAATGAACCATCATAATAACAGAACGTATGCATTTATGCCTGTTCCAGTTTTACATTATAAATCATTTGCATTTATTTATTCATTTGAATAAAAATTCATTAATACCTCATTATTTATCCATAATTAATGGTCATAAACAGCCAGCCTTCTACTGCTGCTTATTTTTATTTATTTTTAATTAATATTGATTCTGTTCAGACATGCAGTGGCAGGCATTTATTTCTGCTGCAAAGGGAACAGGCTATTTTTTAAACTGACTTTCCTATTCCACCAGGTTGTGTCCATTATTTATAACTCAGAGAAAGAAAATAGAAGAACATTATTTAAAAGCCATGAGAAGCACATAGATATAGGAAATCAGTGGGAACTATATCAGGACACAGGGAACTCAAAATATTAACTGCCGTGATACAGACATGATTTCCTTTGTATCAGAATTAACTGCATGCTCTGAGCAAAATTTCCAGTCAATTTTGGAAAATTAAAATTTATGTTGCTGGCAATTTTTAGAACTGCAGGTTGAAATACCATATAAACAATGTAAAGATAGTTTGCAAAATATGGGGTTGGTTTTTTTTTACCTATCTGGTGTGCAAGTTGCACAAGGATTGTTACTAAATACAAACTAAACATTCAAGGGTCCTAGGAAATAAACTCAAAATCACAGGATTTCAGACCATCCAAACACTTCCAATTATTCTATTTACATAAATAGAAACAACAACGTTGAGCCATATATAAATCCAGTACCCATATTTTCTCTTTGGATTTGAGTTTAGTGGGAGTTTAGTCCGTGTTTCATACTACAGTAAAATTGACCACCGTTTACAGCAAGTAACAGAAGTCTCCTTTGATTGTTGCCAGTCAGACTCCTATCTTCCACCAGATTGCTGCACATAATTTACAACAGAGAGCCAGCTCTATCTTTTTCAGTTTATGTTACTTTCCTTTTCATCCTTTGTGGTCAAAAGGCTGGATCTTCCAGGAGAACTTGTGGCTCTCTTTATTACTTCCACCCACCTGATGAGAAAAGCAACATCCAAAGTTTAATTAGGATTTGAAGGCCATAGGATTTTGACTCTTGTACTATGTAGTAGCTTTTCATAGAGCTATTATTGTGTTAGATAATAGATTCCCTTTTTACTGCCTTATTGAAAAGAACAGCTACAGCTGCTCACTTCTAGGGGTAGAGCATAATATAGAAAATATAAGGATGAATATTAATGGCAGTATCTATAAAAGTACGCAGACAGTACCTCTATTATTAATGGCGGTACCCTCAAGCTGTCAAACTCACAGCCTGTAGGCTGGATGCATCACACACTGACCACGCCCAAGCCCTGTTTAGTGAAGGGGAAAACAGTTGCGATACATCACATGACGCCGCCATGACAACACAAGTTTAATACCCCTGCTCTAAAAGGATGCAAATGACCAGCTGTCTGTGAGGAATATAAATCCTTCCATTCCTCACTATCCTGTCAGAGCTGAAGAAGCGAAACGTCTTCAAAAGAAAAAACAAAGTCCAGGTGCCTCCTGAAAAAGCGCCTTTGGGACAATCATGACCTGGATGACTGAGAATCTCTACAGAACTTTAGCTATACAATTTGGGATGAACACCTTTTGAATGGTATGGGAGTAGGAATGAATTTTCAGAGAAAAATTGCAGACTACAGGAACCAGGAGCACTACTCAGGTACCCCGAGGACACAGATAATCCTCCAACTGCTTCAACAACCCTCTAAACAGGGCTGTCAAACTCACGACATCATGGCATCATCACGTGACATATTGCGACTTTCCCCCCTTTGCTAAACAGGGTGTGGGCGTGGCCAGTGCATGATGCATCCGGCCTGCAGGCTGTGAATTTGACACCCCTGCTCTAAAAGGATGTAAATGACCAGCTGTCTGCAAGGAATATAAATCCTTCCATTCTCCACTATCCAGTCAGAATTGAAGAAGCTTCTTGGATGAGAAGCGAAATGTCTTCAAAAGAAAAAACAAAGTCCAGTTGCCGCCTGAAAAAGCACCTTTGCAACAACCATGACCTGGATGACTGAGAATCTCTACAGACTTTTAGCTATACAATCTGGGATGAATTTGATTTGAATTACATATTAAAATGCTCCTGTGTGTTTTGACAATGTGCATTTGTTCAATTTCTACCTCTGCATAGAAAATTTCTGCATTTATTGGATTCAGACCAAATTTGCACCAGCGGAATCTAGCATCTTTTATATATTTCTCTTCAGTGATTATCAAAATGGCTGTATAAAGCAGGACTCCATTTCTTAAAAACAAGTGGATTTCTTATTGGGCTACCAGCTACTCCTGATTTGGGATAATCAGTTTCTTGAATAGATTTTGATTAATGTACATACTTACCTTTCGAAAGTATACTTGCTCTCAGCCCTGAAGAAGTAGACATGAGATTTAAATTGCAGCTTGAAGACATAATCTTTCTGAATGCCATCTTCCTCTGTGGGCAAGTTGATTATGTAACCAATAAGTGGTAAACTCGCCAGTGGATAATCGTCCTGGAAATTATTTATTTATTTACTTATTTTGGTGATTCTATGCTACTCTTTAACACAGAATAATTTATAAAGTTATAAATAAAATAATGCCACATCTTTTAAAGAATGCATAAAAAAGGTATATCTCAATCTCTTAATTACAGATAAATACAGAAAACCAAATTGGTTCATGAGGAAAAAAAATCCACAGAATATAACATTAGCCAACAGATTTCCATAATTCTAAATCATGAGATAATGTGTGATTCCACAATGACAACTGCCATCATACCTCACCATTGGCTAAGCCAACATATATCCAGTTCTTTGAATAGGCCTAACATATTATATATACATACATAAACTCATAACTCATGACCAAATCTCATAACTCATGACCAAAATAGCTATATATAAAATTTTGAGGCAATAAAATTAATGAACACCAGTTGTATATCATATATAAAAATACTTCATTATTCCTGGGGCTATAGTCAGATAGCCATAGTGATGGAAACTTTTACACCACTATATATTGCTGGATGTTTCATATAATAAAACTACACAACTTTCACAACTCCAGAAAAGGATCAAAACTACAAATGCAACATTTTGTGCAAATATTTGCCATTCCCTGCAGAATCATTGCGGGTAGCATAGAAATTGAACTGAATGAAATAAAATCAACTGCTCTGCTGTGCTCTTGGTTTATATCAGGGGGTCAAACTCAAGGCCATGAGTTGGGTTCAGTCCATGGGGTGCTTAAATCTGGCCCATGGGGCTGGTCTGGAAATATCAAGGGACCGGCCTGCAGTACCTCTAGTGGCTAAAACTGGCTGCATGCAGGTCCCTCTGGTGGCTAAAACGGGCTGCATGCAGGTCCCTCTGGTGGCTAAAATGGGCTGCATGCAGGTCCCCCGCACCTCATTTTCACCCTCCATGGCATGCAGCACTCTGAAAAACAAGCCAAAAACAGGCCATATGGCCTATTTTTGGCCAGCAGTGCTGCAGGAGGCCATGGGGGGTAAAAACAAGGCATAGGGGTCCGCGCATGAACTTCCTGCATACCATTTTGGCTGGCAGGGTGCTGCAAGTGGCATCTGTTCCACCCCCCTGCCGCCACCCTGCTGCCACCAGCACCCCGCTGCTGGCCTGCAGAGAACTACAACGCTGATGCGGTGCTCGAAGAAATCCAGTTTGACACCCCTGGTTTATATGGATTAAATTTGGAATGTTTTTAGATACCATCAATTATTATGGTTGGTTGCATAGTCATCCAGATGTTTAGACAGGATTTCATATTTTTATCCCCCTATCAAATCAACCCTGAGGATCCAGGATAAGCACATGTTGTTTGATGTTATTATTCTCTGTTCATGACAATGTGAAATCATACTTCCAGGTTTTTAGCTGCTATTGGCCTTCAGACCCATCATGATCTTCCCAAGAGTCTACGAGGTTTTAACAGATAGCCGTAGTACATGCACAGATCCAAACAGTGTTTGTCTTTTGCAACAGACAGATGGAAATTTTGTCAATGTCCAAGATTTTTTGATGTGGTTATCAGTGTTTCTCTTGTATTCAGCTGTTTCCAGGTATTACGATGTGCAGCATTCAGACTTTTTCGTCTTTCTTACCAACAATTGTTAAGTCTAGGGAGTTACCAGTATGTGGCAGCATTATTATAAACACAAAAATGTTAAATCACAGATGCCAGTTCTTTAGCTGGTGTTGGCCTTCATACACATGAAAATCCTCTATCCAAGAACCTAAATAACATTTACTCTGGAGGTGGTTGGCCATAAAAACACTTCAGATGGCTAGCAAATTGAATTAGTGGTGGAATGAGTACTCTTAAATGGCACGTGGATCAGAATTGCTTGTGAAAACTGCAAAATTGTTTACAGATCTATAATGTTCACCATGAAGACACAGAACTATATGCATTCAGGGATGACCATTATGTTATATGGGTAACCAAATCCTCCCTCTAGCATTCTAGTATACTTTCATCTTGAAAATATGCAACTTTTATCTTACCTGATGTGTTTTGTAAAAGAACAGACAGAAATTTGTAAAAACAACCCACAGCTTCTGCCAACCATTACTATTTTTGAACTTCCTCAACAGATACCCTGATAGCTGGTTCTATAAAGGAGAAGGAGAAATAATATTATAAAATACCACAGCAAAAGTCTATTGGTGTTGCTTGTAGTAGTTTAAAAACAAATTGCTATTCTTGAAGTCTGATTCTCCTAGGCCAATTACATAACATTCATTGTGAACAGTTGATTTTTGTATCACTAATTTCTTCATTCTCAAGGCTGCTTCTTTCCTGCTTACATCTATTAGTTTCCAATATTGAAAGTGAGATATTTGCAGGGAGAAATGCATGAAGGATAAAATGTGGGTTGATTCTAAGTTTTTCGTCTTTTTACAACTCTGTAATCCCTTAATTTAGGATAGAGTTGGGGCGACTGTATGGAACTGAGCATTTACTGGTCAGGTGCCCTTCCTGACACCTATGTGGAGTTTCCAGCAGATACTTTTTCTTTGTGCCGAGACAGAGGAACATCTGCCACTACCTTCAACTCTCAATCTTCTGAGTGGGAAGAGTGTCTTCACTACAAGACCACCACACCGCTCAGGATTGAGTCCAACTTTGAAAAATGACAAAACAGACTAAGTCTGCCTTTCCCAACTTCATTACTATGGATGTACTGAACTAGAAATCTCAGAATTCCCAGGCATCTCATTGTAGTTCAACATCTCAAGTATTACTGGAAGGTGTCACGTTGGGAAAGATTGCTCCAAAGTATATTACTATTAATATTAGTTTTAATATGAATATTAAAAAGTATAAATATTAATATCTTCCCAATATCGGGATGTATTCTGAATTTCCTCCTTAACCAAGATAGAATAATAACCAGTGACAATCCCAACAAAATAATCACTGCTAAAGGTATTCAAGCCATCTCCAACCCTAGGTTCTCCAGTTAAATTTCCCCCTTCCCCAGTCGCTTAGTTCTCACATCATGCAAAGAACTAAAGAGAATGTGGGTAACGAGACAATATGGTAAATAGACTGGGAAAACACAGAGTAAAAGAAGTAGAAGACAAAGCCATGCAGAGTAATTTGCACCACTCCCCAAAGCACCATTGGAAAAGAAGTCTAGTTTGTTAGGAACAAAATTACAGTATAAATTAAATACATCTAAAGCAGTTTTCTGGAATCTGGCATTGCTGAATTAGAATTGCCAGTACCCAATGTACTATACTGGTGACAGATGTAATTTAACATCTGGAGGGCTGCAGGGAAAGAATAAAAAAATGGCAAGGCATGTGAGCAAGTGTGCAAATGTGCATATAATCAATAAAACAGATTAATTGCTCTGGTTTTTGAAAAACAAGTGATTTCTTACCATTGGCTCAATATGCTAGATCTTCATACTAGAAGAGTGTTTCAGAGAGTGAGAGAATAGTGGTGTAAAAATATATCTGCCTGTTAAGACTGAAAGAAGCAGTTTACCTGAATCATGCATAGATAATCAGACAGGGATAGGCTCTGGTTCCGATACCAGCAAACATGGGTGATTGTGTTAGGCCGATGAGTCTGGCCCAGTAAATAGCGAAGAGGAAGCTCTGGAGAAACAGCAACAGAGCAGCAAACTGAGCAGAGGAAGGAGGTGCAAGGCAGAAAAGGGAAGAAAAAAAAAATAGAATAAATAAGGGTGGTATCTGAAAAGATCATTAAAATAGCATGAAAGGTAAAAAGTGAAAATAAATGATTTGAAGATGTGTGAGGCTCGTGGATGATGAGTCTTAAAATCAGCAGTGCAAAGAGATCACAAGGCTTTAATGAGAAAAGAAGATTAATGTATTTACCAAAGCAAAACGTTAGTTAGAATCAGTGAGTGAACATGATCATACATTTATGGTACCACAGTCAGAAAGCTGATTTCCTTCACAGTGGACAGTGAAGGCTAAATGACTACTTATTCATGCTAGCTGGGGAATTCTGGGAGTTGAAGTCCACACATCTTAAAGTTTCCATGGTTGAAAACACAGGTATACATTTATTGCTATTTATATTCCTATCCTTCTTGAATGAATGCTGTCAATCAATTATCAAATCCACTGTAGCTGTTCCATTAAAATTACAAAGACAACAGTCATTCTATGAAAAAGCACCATTCTATGGAAAAGTACCAAAAAGAAGGTACTACCATATATAGAGAGAGCAGGGTCTCTGTCAGAAGAGTTGAATATATTTACTATGTCTAAAAAAGAAGTAGTGACAGATTATAGTTTTATAACTCTTAAAATGCTGTACGCATAGGTTACCTTGAAGCACAGATTATTCTTTCCAAATATCACTTGCTGGGGGACATTTTATGAGAATAGGACATCCTGAAAATCTAGGTTTGTCCATAGTCCAAGCACAAGCAAGATACTTCTGGGACTATAAATAATGGATTTTTTAAAATATTATTTTCAATTAAGTGGAATGGTAGGGGGACATTTATGCAAAAGAACTCTAGAGTATTTCTGTCTGCCAGTGCCATAACTCTCTGGAAGCTGAACACAACGAGAAGAAATTTAACCCAGGGGGAGAAATCACTCTAAGAAAGGACATAATTAAAAACAGAGATCAGGCTGGAGGGTACAAAGAAAAAAAAAATTCCCCAAAGGAGAGACAGAAGAGCAGTAACCTTAATATTATTAACTGTTCCAATATAAGGTCCCTTCCCCTTAGAGAAATGACTCAGAATAAAGTCACTGTTCAAGAGTTGGAAATAATTCCAGAGGCCAGACTTTATGGGCTTTCCTTATTTGTTTTCATTTCAAAATATTTCTTTAAAACACTGCTTTGTAATGGAACATGCAGAGGTAGACACACCACAAAAATCATATTGCAATCATTTAATTTTTTTTTCAATATGGCCACTGAAATTACTGAAGGCAAATGAAGAGGATGAAGGTTAAAAGCAAATGCATGTATAGAGTTAGAGAAACCAGCAACGAAGACAGAGTGGTAAGTGAAAGTGATGCGTGAACTGCTGCTGGGTACCTCGACGGCCACACTGTGATCAGTCATGGAGACACTGGTATTGCGGTACCAACAGACATGTATGGTAGTGTTGGCCCGGTGGTGGCTCTGCCTGTCCAGGGAGCTACGAGAAGAATGAATGTCCTCTTCGGACTCCTGCTCTAGAGAAACCTCATCTGAGGATCCTGAAGGAGGAGAAGGGAGCAAACATTTAAGAGACTGTGGTACATGGATAATGATAGTGACAAGAATCTCTTAAAGCAGGTCTCTCTCAAAGGTGTTATCCATCAGTTAACTCTGTTTCTAGCATCCATGACCTTTGCAGCCCAGAACGTTTTGGAACTGATGATACTTTACTGTTTATTATATAGAGGAATTCACAATTTTGTAACCAGCTTGGCTGGATCAGATTTTCAGTGAGGAAAGTATACATAGAAATTACATAACAATGCTATAATTCTTTAGATGTCATATGGGATTTCATATCAATAAAATAAACCAGCCAGAACTATACACTTGTTAAAAATCTATTTTGTGGCTACTGTAAAACTGGGTTCAAAGGATAGCTACTTTTAATACAAATAATGGAGAAAAAAGATCACATACCACAAAATTCATTACCAATATTTAACAGCTGGAAGTTCTTATTTGCCAAGACTGAGGTTATCAGGAGCATCTGAGAGGGTATATTTTTCTTAGCCAAAATGTTTTAGTTATTATTGTAGTCATATTATTGCTGTCATAAGAAAGCAGGCACAGTGTACTATTATACATCACAAACAAGGCACTTACTGTTAGAACGGCTGGACAAAGAATTTTCAAGGAACACGCCAGATTTCTCAACAGTTTTCTTGGCCATTTCAATTGCCATATTCAAGTCCTCCAACCATTTTTCCATTTCCAGACGAGTGCTGAGAAGCACAGATAAAACATTAAGCATCATGTGTTCATAGATAAATTGTAATGTATTTTATAGTTAAAAGAAATACTGCTTATTATCCAATATATAGAACACTTTCCTCCCTTTTCATAGAAAAAGAATGAATACTGGAATACGGCTAACATCTTGATGACTCCACATTATGATCCATAATCATTTTATATTCAAATACAACTATTAAAAATCTTTCTTTAAACACTATCACACATCTAAATATTTTCCCCAATTCTTCTGAAATCCGAGGTAACAAAAGGAAGAGGGGGAACAACAATCATATTAGTAAATCTCAAAATTGAAGGTACAGGATGCCATTTATTTCTCAGGATGTTCCTCCACGTAGAAACTTTGTCTCAGATAAAAAATAACAGATAATCAGAGATGGAAGGAACCTTGTAGGTCATGTTGTCCAACCCGCCCCCTGCCCAAGCGGGAGACCCCTATACCATTTCTGACAAATGGCAGTCCAATCTCTTCTTGAAAGTCTCAAGTGATGACGCTCCCACAACTTCCAAGGGCAAGCTGTTCCATTGGTTGATTGTTCTCACTGTCAGAAAGTTTCTCCTTGTTTCCAGGTTAAATTGTTCAGTTTCCATCCATTATTCCTTGTCTGGCCTACAGGCGTTTAGAAAATAGCTTGACCCCCTCCTCCCTGTGGCAGCCCTTCAAATATTGGAAGACTGCTATCATGTCCCCCCTGGTCCTTCTGTTTACTAGACTAGCCAAGCCCAGTTCCTGCAACTATTCATTGTATGTTTTAGCCTCCAGTCCCCTAATCATCCTGGTTGCTCTTCTCTGTACTTTTTCTAGAGCCTCAACATCCTTTTTATAATGTGGTGACTAAAACTGGATGCAATACTCTAGGTGTGGTCTTACTAAGGCTTTATAGAGTGGTATTAGTACCTCACTTGATCTCGATTGTATCCTTTTGTTAATGCAATTTAGGATTTCATTAGCTTTTTTGGCTGTTGCTACACACGGCTGGCTCATATTTAGCTGGTTGTCCACTAAGACTCCAAGACTAAGTCTCAAGACATTCACTCTGCCATAAGTTGGAGAAGCATGAAATCTGAGTCTTCTTTGCACAATCTGGAATAGAGTTGGGATGATATGCCTGTATTCTCTGTGCATGCATAGATATTCATTTGGAACTATTCACATATATATCCCTTCCTTGGCACCAACAATCTACTGAGCAACTTCTTACCTTGCTGCCACTACTACAGTTTTTTGAGCTGAATAGATTGTGAAGCAATGAGGGACAGACCATTCATTTTCACTCTCTTCCACCTGTAACAAACAGAAATGTGTCTGTTCATTAAATGGCATGTGTTCTGAATTAAAAGAAATGGCATGAAAATTGTGACAATCCACCTATCAGCTATTTTTTTAAAAAAGCGCTATTTATTTAATAGCCATTTACCTTCAAATTGAGGGTCTCAAACTGTAATGTTAGGAGGGAATGACCTTGGGAAACAAGATAACAAGATACAGACAAAGGGCCGGTCAGATAAAGGGCAGCTTAGTTTATGGGAATGGAAGAGAGAAGTACTTTCAGAACTGCAAGTTTCTGTTAATGTCACTTTATATTATAATAAAGTAGAATTAGCTCATCTGGTTTTGTTTCTGGTCTATCTAGTAAGACTGACACAAACTTATTATGAGGCTAATGAGGACAATGAGGACTACTGTACTTCATTAGCCCGATAGCCACAATAAGGAAACGTTTTCCTACATTGATACAAAAGCCTTTAAGCAGCATCAAAAAGACTGCTGCAGAGAATTACAAAATTACACATTCCTATATCAGTTGCTTTTCAGTGTTATTGCTTCTGCTGACTTATTAGCAGTAAATCAGCCAATAATGTGGCCTCATACCTTTCTGAGTAATGGTGCTAATCTCAGCCAATGACAAAAGAACCTGATCATTTTCCTGGTGACAAACAAGATGTGAAAGGTGTGGTGTGATAGAACAACTGCATGTGCATTGTAATGAACCTAAGCAACTGAGGTTAGGGTTACACAGGAACAACAGGAGGTTTAAAGGTACACAAGAACAAACATGACAGGAGGTTGACATTCATTCTGGAGAAGAGACATCTGGCTTTTGCACTGAGGAGCAGGAAAAGCACCTTCCCCTCTTGCTCCTGCTACAGCCAGCCCCAGGCTGTCACTCCTTTGCCTGACTTCCCCAGACCTGTGAATATGAATCCCATGTATAGTATGCTTCTCCATTAACCTAAGGGAGGATTCATAAGCTGTTGCCCTACTTCTGGCTCTCCTGCTGTATGAGAACAAGGCAGGGTTAATGAATGACTGAACTGAATAACATACTTGGCCTATTGCCCAAAGTTTGAGATCTCTGTTCTAGAGGGTAAAACTAGTAGCTACAATTACATTGCCACTTCAACAGGTCTAAACATAGCAATCCTATTTGTTTTGCTTACTACTTACCGGAGGATCCAGGACTATCAGCTGAAAATCAAACATAAACATAGAAAAAAGTTCATTGGAAAGTAAAAGAGCATGCAATGTCCAGGTGTGGGAGTAACAGAAATTGCAACATCCACATAGGTGTACAAAGAACAGCATCATGGTAAGTTCATCCATAGTTACTTGATTGTTCTGACACCAGAAAATTGACAAAGTTTGCTCTTCTATTTCATACAAAAATTATAAGAACATCTAAAAAAATATTCAGAACCACCAGGAATATCCTATTGACAATGGTTATTTATTTATTTATCTCATTTGTTCATATGCTACCTTTGTTATTTTTACAAATGACTTAATAGTTAAACATAATACTTTAATAGTTAACTATAATGAAAATGTATAAATTAAGAGGAGAGAGATCATACTATCTTAATGTTTGGCAGCTGTATGAAGAGCTACTTACCAGCATCCCATGCAGAGGGAGGTGTCCTCGTATTTTGAACTGATTCGTCCCTGTTACACCTTTACTTGTATACAGCAATGTATCTGAAAACTGAGACAGACATTTTTGTTTGTCAAACCTTTCTGTCTTTTAAAAACAACCTCTGATTACAGTTATGTTTTGTAACAGCCTTGAGCAAAAATATCAACTCACCAGAAAGAACATCCTTTGCTGTAAGCCCTTTTTGGTAAGTTTGTACAAGCAACCTTCTCGAATAAATTCCTATGGAACAATTAAACAAGAAAAATTGGCTCCACTGGTCCTTGAATAACGATTGATTCAATAACAGTTCAAAGTTACAACCGTGCTAAACTAGTGGTTGTTGCAACTGATCCTCGAAATTCCTGCCATCTCAACGCTCCCACAGTCATACAACCACTATCTGGATGCTTGGCAAACAGCTTGTACTTATGACAGTTGCAGTGTCCCATGGTCATGTGATTGCACTTTGCGACCTGCTCTGCTGACTTTCCACAAAAAAAGTCAGTGGGGAAGTCAACAGGGAAGTTTACAAGATACTTGGGCAGCTTTTCCCCACCCACACACCCTTCCCCAGTCCCACTGTACCAGCATGCCCTTGTGTACCCTTTCCCACCCAGCATCTGTCACTCCAAATCTTGCTGTACTCATGTGGAATGTGAGAATGACAGAGGGAAGAGGGAATGTCTAGGGAATGATCAGATAAAGGGGGAGGAGCCCACAACTGAGCAATGGATGGAGAAAGATACTTTAGAAAGGCTGTGCCCTAACTAATCAAGGGATAATAAGTAGACTTCATAGCAATGCATTCATTAGTTCCATGCTGGTCCTCATTGCCTCTGCAGACTAACATGAAACAAAATATTAAAACAATGTTCTTGATATCTTCAACATGAGGCTTTCAATGAGCCTTTCTTAGAATCAGTTTAAAATGTGTTAGAAATGTATTTTAGAAGGTACATATAAGTATAATTTCAAATTTTCTACTTCAAACAGCAACACTTTGGCCTAAGTTAACTCTAAAGTAACACAACAAATGCCTAAAGCAAGGATATACCCTGTTTCTCCAACAATATGGCCTCCCCCAATAGGAAGTCCCAGCATGTTTTATAGGCATGAAATGAAATTAAGCCCCTCCCCCCACATTAAGGCCTATATTAAAACATGAGAAATGGGGGGAATGGTGGGGGAGCTTGCCGTTAGGAAGTACTTTTGTTGCACACCCAGATATGGTGCTGCCTGCGTTGACCCCAATATGAAGTGCCCCACCAACGCTGAGGTCAACATCCAAGCCATCGCTGCCTGCCCGCCCAAAGATGCAAGGGGGGGAATTAAGTCACCCCCAAAAAGACGGCCTAGCCATTTTTTCGGGGCTCAGAAAAAAATAAGACCCGGCCTTATTATATGAGAAACACGGTAGCATATAGTAAGCAGCAAACCAGTGCAAAATACTATATAATAACAAAGAAGACTTTAAAATAGAAGATAACTGATTACCCTTCCAGGTGCTATGAGATTATCAGTACCAAGAAGATCATGCTGTAGCTCTATTAGTTTCTGGAAATTCTCCAGCCGGATCAAACTGTTTTGAAGTTGCGATGTCATGTTTGCAATTTCCTTCAGTGCATCTACAGAATTATCCAAAACATGCCACGGGCAAACAATCAGAACATCAAGGATGAATTTACAACATACTTTATCATTAGTAGATCTATTTTAAAAATACAAATTTTCTCTGAATTAAACACATACAAACCTATAAAACCTGTGAGGATTATTGAGAAACATAATTGTGAGATATTATATAATTTAACTACTTAATTAGTTTTACCTGCATACCCAAAATGAGTTTGTTTACCATTTTTACATAGCCCTCTATCTCATAAAACGACTCTTGGTGGTTCACAACAATCCATAAATCATGATTAAAAACAATTGTCTCCAGATGCCCAACCAAATATCCTCACAGCTCAACCCTTATCCTAGTCAGGTGGGCGGCATGGAGACCAGTCTCCAGAAGACTTAAAGGGTAAGGATCCCTCTGATCTTGGATGGGAGGCTGTTGCAAAGGGCCAGGTCAGTCACTGAGAAGGCATGCTTCCAAGGTCCCATCAAAATGCGAAATTCAAGAGAGAGAACCTAGAGCACACACATCATATCTAATCTAACCTTGAATTGCACCCCAAAAGCAACTGGAAGTATCATGCCCCTGGTGGAGACTGACTCTGAGGGAGAGGAGGAACAGCCGACAGGGAGTGGAAGTGTGGCTCCGGAGGTTGTGGAGGAGGCTAGGGAAGGGCAGAGCCCAGCTGAGCAGTCAGAGGAAGACCCAGACCTATCCCCTTTCCATCCTAGGGCACGCAGGGAGGAGAGGATAAGGGAGAGACATGGTCTACTTGAGAGGAGAGGGCCTTGATACTCTTCATAGGCTGCAGTTATGACAACTGAATAAGAGGACAGACATGCATATGGGCAAACGCTGGAAACAAAGCGTGGAAATATCTCTAGTTTATGGTTCCTCTCTGAGCTTGGCATCCTTCCCAGTGTGTGTTCTGTTATCTGTGGACATCCTCCAGCCCTTATCTTGCCTGGTTTGTGTTGTTTTTCCCCTCCTTCCTGTAACTGGTTGCGTGGGAGATTTTTGTCTTCCGTCAAGGATATTTGGAGTTTGGAAGCAAAGTGAAGGAATAAAAGGGGCATCACTGGGTTTTTGTGACTGTGTTTATTTTGTATCCCCCTCCCCGGGTCATCACAAGAAGCCAATGCAGTTCACACAGCAATGATTTTACTGGGTGAACTGCTAGGCACAAAAACTGTGTGACTTGCTGCATTCTGGACCAATTGTGGTTTCCCCATGTAGAGCGCATTGCAGTGATCGAAACTGGTGTCTAAAAAATGGATGACTGTGAGGAAGGTATTAAAATATATTTTATTACTTTTTTATTCAAAGATGCAGGTGACAAAATTGAATGAACTAATTCTGTAGCCATATTATTTCATCAACTCAGTTAGTTAGCAGCATAAAATAAGAAAACAAAAAATGTCAGCTAGATTCTTTCTAACCATTTGCTTAATTCTATTACTCACTCTTGCAATCACTGTAGTCTCGATGATCTGCTGGATAGTGTTTACAAAGTCTTCCCAAGATCAACTTGTAGTATATTATCCGGTGGATAGGCTTGAGCAGGAAAGTGTTAAGGGGCAAATAGCAAACTCTTTGGAGTTCAAATTCCTTATAAACTATTTCTAGTTTCTTAATACGCTTAGTTGCTTTCTCAAGCTCCATCAAGACTTCATCATGTTTTTGCAGATAGTTGGTAAATTCCTATGGGATCACAGAAGACGCAGCTATAAAGATTTTTAAAATCATGCAATCTCTTTACCTGAAATATTCAGTTACTGGGGGAAAAAAAGCATACTTCTTTAAAAAAATTGTCCGCAACAATTGTCCATTTACAATAAATATTTAGAAATTCTATGTTCACACAAGACAAAATATTAGACAAATTTTGTCAAAGGTTCAGAATCTCAATAAATATATGAATGAACGATGGAGATTTTGCAGCATAAAATTCATCAGAGAATGCCAGAATTTGCTGCATCTTATAATAATTATAACATATGGTATATTTAATTTTCAAAGCAGTAACATATAATTTTACATAATCATATACAATTATAATTTTATGTATATATGTGGTAGCATAAAGATTAATTTTTAGACAAGACTTATCAATATTTAAACTGGAATTTTTCTATTGTAAAGTAACAATGTTAAATGTCATGAATGAAGGCACATATATATATATATGTTTTCTGGGACAATGTTGCAGGATTCAGTGTGAGTCAGTCACTAGGATGAGAGATTTAGTCTCCCAAGCTTTTGGACTCATGCTGGAGCATATATTCAGGGAACTTCTCTTGCACAAAATGTGGGCTTTGGGCTATACTATGCATAGTATTTGTGTGGTGCCTGGTTGTGTGTGGCTTTTTAGTGGTTGACTGGGGTGTTGATGGCCAGCTATTTAGTCTTTGACTCATAAGTACCTGATAAATTGGTGATAAATTGGTCGGCACTCCTGTTCAGTGATGAGGGGCCCATTTCCCAGGCTTCAATCATTTCCCTGGCTATTTTTGTATCTGCTTAGCTAACAATCTTAGTAGCTCGAAACTGAATGTATGTCATTGTTCATTGCAATGTGAGGCTACCAATCAGTTTGGATCTCCTTGTCTGACTGCTCGTTTGTGTTCTTGCAATCTGTTGTTTAGCTTCCTCCCTGTCTGTCTTACATAGTCACAGGGCAATCCATGCAGGGGATCTGGTAGATTACATCAGAAATATCTTCCACCTCCAAGCAATCTTTACATTGCCATGCACAACAGGCACCACATAAACATTACACATAGTATAGCCCAAAGCATACATTCTGGTCAGACAGAAGTTCCCTGAGGATAGGTTCCAGCATGAGTCCGAAGGCTCAAACCTGTGATCCCAGTGACCAGCCCAGATTGGATCCTTCAGTATCTAAATTTCCTACATAGAATTTGCCATTTTATCATTAAGACACATATTAAGGAGAAGGGGGGGGGGGGGGGGGAGAGAACACAAGATTCCTGAGTTATAGATACTTCCATACCTTCAATATTTGCACATTTCTCAGCATGACATCTCCAATCCGCTGATAATCTCCTTTACCAGAACTTGATCGCCCTTCCCTTCAATTGAGAGAGTGAAAAAGTGAGCTCTAGGGAAAACTGAGTCTAAAATTATTTTTCAGAGCCAACCAATAAATATAACAGCTCTTCTTTCAAAACTAATAAGATACCCACAGTAACTTTGAAAGAAACACTGTAACTTGTTTGCAGTAATTTCTCAGAAGGTTAATCATTCTTCTGCTTTGTAGTTCAATCTGAATATATGACCAAGAAAGACAAAAGAACTAGATACTGCAATGCATTTTGAAGAGCAGTTCCTTTTTCAGTGATATGTTCATTTGGACATTTCTGGAAAGGAGGAATAGTCTACTTTCCTGTTCAGAATTTGAAATCTGTCTTTGAACTCACCAAAAATTATCTTTGAGCAAAGACTTTTTCTCTGAAATATATTACACATCTTGAATGATCGAAACTCAAAAAGAAATATTTTTTGTACACTCGTATGAGTTTCTCTTCATATATAATATGTTGTCATTTATTTTATACCCCATAATGGAATGTTACGATGTAATAAAAAAATTAAAAAAGGAAAATGGGAAAATTGTTAACATAATGTTATCAATTAAATTCAACATTTTGAATAAGACATATAAGCAAACAAGAAAAAACAAGAAAATGGACAAAAGAATAAAATACAAATGGATAAATGGATAAAGTACAACATTTGGGATGAATCTGACAATATTCTTTCAGCAAAATTCTCATTATTGCATATGTATACTACATACAAATGCTGCATCTATATGAGCATGCAGTCTTTGACTTGTTTAGTTTCTGAATCTTAGTTCACCAGCAGTGTATAAATAAGGCCCAGCAGATGTCAACTTCCATATTGTAAGTTTTTCAAATTCACTCAGATTTCTAAGTATTCTTTGCCCTTCTTTCTGCAAGTCTTTCAATGTTATGTTATTCATTTGAAGATACTTCTACTCATTTGAAAATACTACAACCAGTTATGTACAATATTCCTTCTGATTTTCAGAAACTGCTCTGGTGAACTAATCCATTATGAATTAAGAGGCTCAAAAAATATCTTCAACTTATTAACTATCAGATCTTGCCATCTAAACTAATCATTATTTTTTTCCACTGAACTAATTTATTTTTCTTCTCTTCGTAAAAATAAACATTTAATTTGAAGCAAGAGAGCAAATGTTTGTGTTTTTTTTCAACAATATGTTTTATAGGGTTATCAAAAATATTACTTTCTTTGAAGACCATTTTTGACCAATTAAAATATAATGAAGAAAGTATATGTAGTGAATTTTTAAATACATCCAAATAAATGTTTATCTCATAATTACAACAATGATTTGCTCACTGGAATGACTGCAGTCACCAAACATTTAGAGACTTCATATCATACAATTGGTATACATAGTGTATACCAATACCAACTGTATACATGTAGTGTCATTCAGAAAACTGATTTCATGGAAAGGATCATTAGCAAACACTATTCAAGTATGTATTCAATGCAGCTTCACAGGAAAGCAGTTTTGTCAGGTATCACAGAACTCAATTTTCATAGTCATATGTCTAATAACGTTTACCAGAGTGCTAGTCTCTGCTCAAGCTCTTTCAAAAAGCCTCTGTGAAACTCATAGATAGGATCTATATTGGAGAAGAATAAGGTCATGAGAGCTTCAGGCATTGCATTCTCCTTGAAAACTGCACTGCGGAACCACTGCAAAAGAAAAAAAAAAATCAAACTGTAGGTGTTTATATTTAGCTATTTATTCATTTACTTTATTTCTATACCAAAACCACTCCCACTGAAAGCATGATCAAATATTTGTTTTACAGCTAACTGTGTGATCAATTAATATTAAAGAATCTAGAAAAGCATGTAGGGACATTTATAAAATAACTTAAAAAATGAAACTCTACAAATCAATTTCCTATTGTGAAGAAAAAATGGCAGACTAGTGTTAGATAAGCGTCCATTCACTTGGAAACATCTTTTGCTTTCAAATCTGACCTGCTGTACAATCCTACAATTTCTAAAATACAGTGCAACAAAAATATATCAGAACATTGGGAAGATAGAGAGGCACAACATCAGCCATGGAATTTCGAGCATCTCCTTTGTATGAGTAACAGAGACAGATTAAAAAAACAGAACTGATTCAAAGATATTCTTCTATATATATAATTGTTTGAATAATTCTTTGGGAGAGAGGAAATAGTTAATAAATGAAGGTTTAAATGAATTACTAGTGTTAGAACTTCCAGGTCTTTTAGGTACGTTCGTTCAGTAGCAAGGATTTCCTTTGCAATGAAATATGCTTTGTCTGTTGGGCATTTCTGAAAGAAAGAAACAAATTCCCAGTAAATAAAGAAGAAATGCTACATGAAACATGTAGTATTACTGTATTCAAATTGCTTTAATGTGTAAAAGGTATATTGAGACTAATAAGCCCACAAGTATTGTTTGGGCAATTAACTCTTGGATCTGAACAATATATATGTTGCAAATATATATATACTCAAATGCAAACTGAATGTCCAAGGGAAATATACTGTGCATCCAAACTTCATCCATTTGATATTTACATACAGGAATCCTTATCCAGTTAGGCAAACTAGCAAGTACAATTTCTCCTAGTCCTTGTTTTCTGAACCAAAATGTGTTCTGTCTCACTTTTCTTCTTTCCCAAAAGATGAAAGAATACAAACTCACACAAACACAGGCAGGCAAGCTGGCTTGGACTTCACAGAGTTAATTCTTTGGAACTGATAAAACCTTGGCATTCCAACACGCTCTGCCTGCCAAGTCCGAACTGATAACAAATAAAAATCTACTCACAGAAAATTACAAGGCAGTCCACAAAAATCATTCACAAAGAAAATCCGAAGTAAGATTAAACTTTGTCCTGTACAAAGTTCCAGCCAAAAACATACCCACTTTTATCCCCTGTGGGGTGTGGCTCAATGACTCAGCTCACTCTCTGACCCTCCCACGCCTACGTTGCTGCTCACGTTTCTCCCTACGACGCTGCTTAGGATCAAGCCAACACTCTTCCTCTTTACTCCCTGTCAGGGGCTGTTCCGATATGCCTTTCTCCTGATTAATCTCAGGCTGTTCCTCTCGGTTGTCTGATGAAACCTGAGGCATTATCAGGGAGGAAGGCATTGCCAGAGAGGAAGGTCCTGGGGAGGAAGGCATTCCCAGTTCCTCCTCCTCATCTTCCAGGTCTTCTTCCTCTGACAGCATAGGCTCGGGAATCGGGGCCACAACAAAAATGTATGGGATTACATGCCAATAATGCCATGCCAGAATACTATTTCGTTTTAGGCTCAAGCAGCACTGGAAGCAATGCTTCAGTGGGCTTCTCGCCACACCTCACAATGTGAGCCTTCCTCCTGATCTCCAGGCAGGAATAAATTATACCAGTTTAAAAAACATTGCTCATAATGTCTCCTTGCTTCACTTCCAAAACAAGGGAAAGCAGCAGGAAGGGTGAAAAATCAGTCTTCCTTATATCTTCTCCTAGAAAGTGCTGAGCCTTACATGGAAAAAAACCCAACCACCTTGAGAAAGAGGTTTTCATTAGGAATGGCAATCTCCCCCAAGGTCACTATTTCTATCTGAGCCTTAAAAATGAATCAGAGAAAACAAAATTTGATTGTCTGGCAGTTTCTGTTCACTTGGCAGCCATAAAACACCAAGGTTAGATTGAAGGAAATGATCTCACAACAGGCCAAAGTGAACCTGGAAGTTAATAACCTCCTTCAGGATTTTCTCCAAGTGAATCAGAATGTTCACTTAGAAGTTTATATTACATTTTCCAGTGGAAAACAGAACATTCCTGCTGATTTTGATTTAGATTCAATCTGTCTTAGCTGGTTAGCATAAAGGTGGAGGTTTTGTTCTGGGGATATGTCTTCAACAAATGGACATCTTAACATTGGAATAATGTTATGATGATGTCATATGAGCCACAGTGGTGCAGTGGTTAGAGTGCAGTACTGCAAGCTACTTCTGCTGACTGCCAGCTGTCTGCAATTTGGCAGTTCAAATGTCACCAGGCTGACTCAGCCTTCCATCCTTCTCAGGTGGATAAAATGAAGATCCAGGTTGTTGGGGGCAAGAGGCTGAGTCTGTAAATCACTTAGAGAGGGCTGTAAAGCACTGTAAAGCGGTATATAAGTCTAAGTGCTATTGCTATAAGGCAGGTGTGTTTGTGAGACCAGTATTATACAAAATCATGCAGCGAGTAATTTTCTAGTCACAGTGAACCATAATGTAAAAATTGGATATTTTTCAATATATAATTAATTATCCAGTTAGGTACTAGATCCCAACTTTATTCTTCTTATTACATGATTTTGAGCAAAAGCCTTTTACACAAGGAAAAATATCGGCCTAAATTGACCGTATTATTTCAACTCAAGATATGAAGTTTTCCATTCGTGTTTCAGGATTTTGTCTTTTGTCTTGAGAAGTTCACATTTACATGATGGTTATGCAATCAGCAATGTTAATAAAGGTAAATCACCTAAGAGTTTTGTTGAATTTGCAAAATGAGCATTAAAATCTTGTGTAAGCCCTTACTTTGCCCATAACTATAAGCCTTACTCTAACAGAATCTGGTTTTGAAAAGGAATAACTGTTAAATGCATTTGCATTTTAAACTGCATTTCATTTATACATAATCCTCTTCAATGTAAACATAACATGAGCTCGTAAGATAAGAACAGGTGTTTATTGATTCCTGCCTATGAAAAGATAATACAGCATTTGTTATTTTCGGTAACTGTAGTGTACTTATTTGTCCTGAACTCTATTGAATTGAAAGCCACACAACAAAGATACCATATGCGAAGTGGCCCCAATATACTGCACCCTTTGCAGTTAGACTACTAGAAAAAGCATAGGCAAACTTGCAAAAATAGTATCAACATGTAACAAAGAAAATGACAAGCTGGAAATAATGCAATAAGTAGGAATGGAAATTGCACTATTTGTTGTCAACTGCTCTTCCTCCACTTACTTTATGTTTCGTTTCATCCTCTTCTTCAAACCTGGCTCCACTAACATCACTCAGGACAGGACTCAGCAGAGGAGATGAGCCCTGGACCACAGTTTCCTGTAATGGGGGATTCAAGGACACTGCACTCTTCACTTTAAAAGAAGAGAGTTGAGGACCTAAGCATCACAAAAGAAAGGAAGGGGAAAGAAAATAGTCAAACAATGTCTCCTTTTATAAAATATCAAAGTAGGTATAAATCTATATAAAAGCAATTTTTGCTTCCTGTAACTTACAATAAATTAACAAGCCTTCAAATATATTTGAAGTAGTCCATGAAAATATGATTTGCTCATATTCAAACCAGTATTAGCTAAAGATCTGAATTCTAGCTAAAAAAAATGAAGTCAATTCCCCACCACCACCACCACCACCTACAATTCATGGTTAAATCATTGAAGTTGCGCATCACTGAATTAACATGCTCCTTTGGATAAATCACTTGTATAACATGCTAATCATAATGTCTTTGGAAAAGTGGAAATGAAAAGCAAGAAAACATAAATGGATGTGCATTTCATCATTTCAGAATGTAGTACTAATCTGAGAAACTTTTTGCAGAAGCAGAAAATGTAGCTTTAGGAAAAAGAGACCAAGGACTAAAATCCCTTCAAATTCTCCGGAGGAAGCTTAAGCTAACTATTGACACAACCTTAAAACACATTGCATTGTTAATTATATAGAGGCAATTTTCAGTTATCAATCAACATTTGAAGAAGAATCATCCCCAAGAAGATAATTGCCAAGAAAAGAGACCCAGGAAATAGAGAGAAGCAACAAAATTGTTGAAGTGTTTACATAATTATAGATTCCAAGCTAAAATATCTAGTCCATTTTTTTTTAGCTTTCCTCTAAAACTTGGCACAACAACGTATCAAATGGTACGCAGAGAAAGACAATAGCTGATAGCCAGAAATTTCCTTTTACAAGCAATTATAATAGTTTCAAGTGTGGTAGATTTTAAAATAATTTTTGTGCCACAGCATTGCTATTTACTATTCATGGAACAAATTCCTATCATTATTTAAACCTTCAGTTTGGCTGACATTTTTGATGTTGCAACTAAGCACTATCTTGTTTGGTTTCTCATGACAGAACTGTTTTGCAGAGGGCCGTACCACAGAAGTCTCCTACGCTGATGCTAATACGAAAAGAATGCTTTCAAACAGTTTGCCACTCCCACTCCAAATTCCATCCTATGTATTCTTAGAAAAACAACATGTATCTTTGTGCTCTGGGAGACATTTATTCTTAATTGTATGATTTTTTTAAGTTATGTCAAACTGTCCAAAAAGTCACTGTACAGTGGTGATACAAATAAGCAGACACGCAGAGTTTTTCCATGACTTACTTTCAAAGTAGATTACAAAGCTGGGAAAGAGCCAGCTGCAAGCTTTCTGCTACAATACTGGCTGCTGGTCTTTTGACTCAGGAAGTAAAGCTGTTTAAAAAGTCATGAATGAAGTAAGGGGGAGGTAGCATGAGAAGGAAAGGATGTTTCAGTGCAAGTATTTGCACAGTCTGAGGAAGCTAAATAATGTTACACTTAGTCACCTGGAAGAGATTCAGGGAAGAAGTTAACTATTAACATTCTTTGCCAAACCACTGCATATCTGCATTATACATTAGCTCATAAAATATTTTCCACTGGTGCCTTGTTAGCATCTGCAGGATCCGGAAGAATGAAAATTACTGACATTTATTATTTGCAGGGAAAAACCATTTACTGGAAAACTGTTTTAGTTCAAGAAATGTAAAGGAGGAAATAGTTATGCAGTTTGCAACCAGTCCTGTTAATTGTTCCTTTTCAGGATAACTTTTTTTTTCTTTGCAATTTTCTTTAAGCTATTTCAGAGAGCATAAAATACTATGAGTTTATGTAAGTTAAACTATATAGTCTCAGAATTTGATACTCTCTGCAAAATGTTTTTATTATTAAAAAGTCAATTGATAATATTTTTGATGCAAAATTGGGGAAGGTATCTGTCTAATTGAACAATGTATGAGAGCCCTAGTGTATGGTTACGGTGCTGGCCTAAAACATAAGCGACTCTGAATTGTAACTCAGCCTGGTGACTTTGGGACAATCACTTTCTCTCAGTCCAACTCATTTCACACCAATGTTGTTGTGGACCAAATAGGAGGAAGAAAGGGTATTATGTATGTTTGCCACCTTGAGTTATTTATAAAAGTGGGATTTTAAAAAATCTAATAAAATAAATGTATCCAGGTTCCTTTGCAGAAAGACCCCAAACCAGAGCAAAACCACTAGTTTAAGTGTAGCCTAGGAGTACTATTACAATCAAGCATCTTGTCCTGAAGTTTCGATACCCTACCTCCCAATTACCTAAAACTTTATATCTTTGAATAAAATATTCTGAATGTTTAAGAGATGTGTCTTCCATTGCCACTGCATCCTGTTGTTCTGCCTGCATCATGACAGTGAAGTTATATGAAGGTTTTTAGCAGCAAAAGATTGTTTAAACTATGATTTGCCAAATAAGTTATGTAGGATTATATGTTCAATTTCACACACATCTGTTAGCATTTAAAAGAAAAGATCCAGTAATTTTAGCTGTCTTCTAATTATCTATATCTCAATAAACATTTCACCAATAAAATACTTGGAAAAAGCAAACTAATGCCAAAATACAGTACAACATAAGTATAGTTTGAATTATTCTTTAAGTCTACGAAAAATTTTTAGTGTCAGCATGCATATAGAATATCTATCTGTCTGTTAGAGATAACACAATAACCTCTTTTTGTTAAATGATGAATAGGTTAATATTCTGGGAACTTAGTATATGTATTAGAGCTACATCAGAAGTTTCAAAAATGGCTTGACTGAAGACTGTCCTTCCTCTTCTACAAATTTGCCTTATTTGTTTTATATACTTATTCAATGTTTGCCCACTTGGAAACATTCATACATCTCAGTATTAATGTCCATTCAGATTTCCAATAGTTTCTATTCCCCCCTTCCTCCTAATCTACTTAGAAGTGAGCAAAAACAGTACATTTATGAAAATACTGCCCCATTGTATAAGAATATAAAAATCAAATTCTGTATTTTTAAAAAAATTGATTACTTTGTAATACTGAATTAGCCCCCTAATGTCTCTCCACTGCTTCACAAATTATATACCACAATCACTGTTTGTCCCTGTAAAACAGAGGACTTGTCAACTCTTTATTATATACTTCATCTTTCCAAGAAACCAGGCATACCACATACAAACACATACACACAAAGGTCACATTCCAGGCCCACATATGGCTTAATACCAGAAACTAAAAGTGATAAAAATTAATTCTCTCCAAAAAATCTGAATCATCCTATATGCAAGGTTCTTTTTCTATGTACTTTGAGCAGAAATGCATTTTCTAAAATCTACAGTATTCATCATTTCTACTTCTTATATTTTGATATGAATTATTGAAAACAGTTCTTATTGTTTAGCAAGAATAACAAGTTTTTAATTTTGGGATTCTTAGTATCGGAACAATCATTAATCACTCTGCCTAAAATATCCATGAGAAAGTTTATTTTGCAAAGGAGTTCTAAGAAGAATGAATGTGAATATCAGCCTTGTGGGCCATTTTTTTGGATACTTTAGTGAGTTCCAATGTTTTGTCCAAAGTTTAAGTGCAGAACCAAATAAAATTCTGATGCAGTATGTTGGTTAATAACATGTCCTAGAAGTTTCGGCTTAAAAGTTGAAGTCAGCTATGAGTTTTATTGAATCATACTTTGTATCAGCCTCAGCCCCATTTATCAAATAGGTTCTGACAAACATATAGGATCTATTAGAAGATATCAAAGGGATATAGAAAATGCTCTGAGATCAGGGAGTTGTATAAAATATTAAGCAATAACAAGGCTACTATACTGCATCTGACTAAGAAAACTAAGAAAAGGAACGTAAATAAACTACAGATTCTGAAATACACCTTTACTTCTGCATCAAAAGCAGTCTGAAGCATATATCTTGTGCACGTACTTTATTGTCTAGTTAAATCTTTTCATCAAAACTCTTATGTAACATTACATTTGCAAAGTTGCTTAAAAACCAGTCAGTTCAGTTATTAAATTACACTGAAGGCTGGAAAACTGTAATTGCCATTTATCTTTTTCCCTTCTACAAATCTATTGCAAATAACTATAAATACTAATAACAGTGGGTCACCAATTATCAGACTAAAACTGAGTGCAATTCAAGAGAAGTATGGAATCTGCATCTTGCTCACTATAAAAAAGCCTAAAATTTCCCAGGATGTGGCATATATTCCTACAGTAGTACATAGAGATTAAAAGGGATAGATAAATATCCCAAGGAAAGTATTTTACTTACTTGAAATAGTAATTCCTCAAGATCTGATTCTGTCAATTCATATTCACAAAGTATAGTCCTCTAACATTGTTCAACAATACCAATAATATTAAAAACACATCCTGTCCTGACTAAAGTAACATCTTTAAGGGGAATTTAATATTTTAAGAAGTACTGAGAATGAGTAATTTCCAAATCAATAACAAATGTTCAGTTATTTGGGAAGGTGGATAATATTATATGAAGTGCTCTACAAATATAAGTATTTTTTGTAAGTGACTGTACTACTGTAGTATTGGTGTTATTCTAAAAATAACTTGTGAACAGCATTGTTCCTGAAATAACAAAAGTACTAACACATTTTAACATTCAGTTTTAATTATTACATGATTATACTCTTAAGCTAGAAAAAGTAGTATCCAAATTTAAATTTGTGATGCCATTATTGAAATGAACAGAGCTAATTTAGACTGAAGATTCAGGTTTCTCATTAACTTTTGCCCTCAGTTAAGATCATATGGCTGAATCTGAATATGAAAATCTAGGAATATTGGAATGAAGTCTGATTTAATCATTGAAACATGTCTCATAAAGGTAATGAATAAAGCTACATAGAGGTTTATAGTAGTCTTCTGCTTGAATGGAAAATGTGAGTGGGTGGCACAGGATACTTGAACATACATTATGAGTACCTCCCTGCTGCAACTTTGTCTACATTTGTAACACAAAATTTGATGACAATCAGGAAAAACGTTGTGTGGTGATGTTTAAAAACTCTAAATGTTTACCCTGGTAAATTTTAAGGTCCTTCGATTCCATAGATTAGTTGATAAGATCTAAATATTAACTGGTGATCATATAAATAAAATAAATAAAATATAAATCAATCATAATATATTTAAATTCATGCAACTGTGAAAATATGTATATGCAGATTATTTAAAATACGAATATGCAGATTATTTTACTGATATAGTAACTGGCATCATGTTTAAGTCTGTTTTCTTTTTTGTAACTAAGAATGATCTAATTGCATGAATAAAGTAAATTTTAACTTTGAGCAAGAATATATCACACCAAAATAGTAACTTGTACTAAATATCACAAAACAACATGCTTTAGAAAAAAACATTTGTTGTATTTCATATTTGCTTAAAATTGTATTCCTACTGTAAACATCAGACAGCAAATCAGGAAAGTGAGAAAATCAATAATGATTCTCTTTTGAGAAAGAACAAGGAAAAAAGTTAAAACGTGTTCTTATTTATATTGAATACCTTCTAATTTTATTGGATATGTAATTTCAAAATTATCAATACAAATCTGTAGATATATAATCAATTTCAACAGAAACAAAGATATGTGAAGCATTCATATTATGTAGATCATCATGATAAATAACTGTAAGAATTTCCAGTCTAAGAATATTTTTTCTAACAAGTAAATACCAATAACATGAAATTGCTTATACCAAGGCACAAATAATTTGCATTGTAAAACATTTAATAAAAGTAATTACAGTACATTGTGAAGGCAACTTTGTCACTAATGGAATTATAATGTATTTTTAATATACTCCTACTGAAGGAATTGCCGCATTCTTTTAATGGCAGCTTCTCAAAGAACTGTACCTAGGAATGTTTTCTTCATTATTTAGTGGTTGAATCTCCTAATATACTACAAGTAAAATTTACCAACATCATTTATTCCTTAAAGTTAGCATAAAGTTAAAAAAAAGCCCACATAATTTATTTAGTCATCTTGTTTCCTCTAATATGCAACGTTTATTGGGAGGAAGTTTAACATAAAAAAGTAAGTAATCAACAGTCAATATTAAGAATGTTGTTATAAAAGTCTAATCATTCCATGTAATATTTAAAAATTCATAAAATGAAAAAGTGAGAATGAATATGAACAGATTTTAAGTAATGCCCTAAAGAAATATTTTAAGATATGTATTATACCTTATAGTAATATTATCTAATTATGATTAATATCAGTGAAATCTCAAGTGAACAAGACTGTTAAGTAAGCATAATTCTTCCTAATTAAGAAAAAACAATAATAATTAAAAATGAAATTAGAGCTGAAGTATTTGATTCTACAAAAACAACAGTAAAATACATTTCAGGTTAAACTTGACTCCTGGTGAATAGAGATGTGTCCATGTTGGGTGTTTGTAAAATGGTTTGCCATTGTCCTTCAGATTTTTTAAAGATTTCTTGGTCTAGTTCTGTAATCTCCTGTTGAATCTAACCAGCTCTGAACCTATTTAACTTATGCAAAATCAGCCAATCTATCAGTTATGCCACTTGCTATGACTAACACAAATAGTGTTCCTCCAAAGTTCAACTGTGTGTGGCTCTTTAGCTACACAACACCACCTATCTTCTTACAATTTTTAAATTGATCAAAACAACTATTTTAATATAGAATGATTACAGATCTATAATAATATACTATACAAAATGAATGTATCTGATATATACCTAATCATATCACATCTCATCTATTGCAATCAAATTCCTTATTAATATATAATGGAATTATATGGATTGATATGGCTGCTGCAACTATCTGAAAACATAATTATTTTGCACAGGATCTTTAACATTCCTATCTGAAAAAAACCCCACTATGTTTTCCTGCCTGATTGTTGACCTTTAGAGGATCAGCCTCTATTTATTAAGTCGAGATATTTTTTCTATAAAATATCTTGCCAAGGAAAACCAATTTTAAAACTTAAAAGCTTTGAGGAATTCAGACTATTGCAAGATGAAAAAAATGATCTCTACAGCATAGATTATTTAAGAATGAACAAACAGTTCTTGAACTATAACTTTGTTAAAAGAAACAGAATAAGAATCATGAAAACAAGGAAAATTCCCTTTTTTAAACAACAGAATGAACTGGACATTTATTCATACACATTCACGCTTTTCCATGCAAAATTCTATTGAATACTATGAATCTCTAGTTTCAATACCCAAATCAGCATTCCACTGCATAGTATGCTGCCTACATCGTGATTTTTTTTTAAGGCTAGCAAAGAGACTAGTTTGTCCAGCATGTTCAGTTTGCTTTATTGGAGAATGCTGTTTTATATTATATCATATTCATCCATCCATCTATCCATCCATCCATCACCTGGAGATCTTATAAAATGAATAAAGTATTTTGAAAATGTACTTTTAACTGTTACTATAAAACGTACCAATACATTCACATATTCCTAATACCTGAGAATATAAGAACTAGTTTCAATGTCATAGTGAAAATGCAGGCAATGTGATATATTAATAATTGCACTTTAAAAAAAAGAAACATGTAGCAGTAATTTGTAAATTCTTGAAATAGAAAGGGCAAGAATGATAAGTGTTATACAACTTCCTATGGATAGCTTAATTTCAAAACTGCAGATGGGCCTTAGTTTTCATTCCAGTCCTGAAAATCATGCTTCTTTTTGTAAGATAATAGAGTTAACCTTAGTAACTAGAAGTGTTACTGGAAAAAATGGGCAAAGTGTTAATATTTTAAGGTCTTCTGGAAAATGTAACTCAGGATTTCTGTCTGTCTTTATCTCTTTCACACACTTACCATACAATATTATTTTTATAACAAAAGTTTTAAAATATTTAATAAATGAATATATATTATAGTGCTTTGTATTTATTATTGATGCCTTCACCGCTGTTCTTGATGCCTTAAAAAGATTGGAATAAGAGTCAACAATAATGATCTAGTCTACAAATTTATATTCCAATGACTGAAAATAATAATCAGGAAAAAATGACGCTCAGGTTCTTTTTAAAAATCTGATTCTAATCAGCATAAATCAACATGCCATATCATGCCAAATATTAATGGTTTGTGCACGTGTTCTCTGACTTATCTTCTTTAGTGAGATTTTTGAGATTATTCTGAAAGTCAAGAGAGAAATTCTCTACTGTAGCCTGAGCAAAAGGATTGCTAAAGAAGAGGTTTATATCTAATGGAGGTGCAGATTCTGAATCCCATGAATCATCGGAACTACTAGAGTCTTCTGTAGTGGTAGGTGGGTAACTCAGCTGTTCTAACTGGTCAATAATGTCAGTGAACTGAAGAGCTGAGCTTGATTCAGAACGAACTGAATATGCTGGAAAATTCACCATAGAACTAGCTTCAGACTGATTAGCAGAGCTGTAAGTATGCATAAATGGTGTGCCATTTAATGTTAAATTGTTGAGAGAGCTACTTTCAGACTGGTTATTAATCAGTGAACTAGTTTCAGAAGGACTCAGGAGACTTTGCATTCTGCTTGCCTGTGCTTTAACTTCAAATAATTCTGAGGTATCTGATGGCTGCTGATTTCCATTGAAATCACTATCTCCTTCAAATTCAAATTCATCATCCACATTCATATCTACTGCTTCAATTGAATATCTGTCAGGACTTGAATGAGAGGATACCATATTCTGTTGCAACATTTCTTTAGTTAAAGTAGGTGAATCTGAAAGACACTTCGAAAAATTTGAGTCCTTTAAATCTAGGCCATCATACAAATAAGAAAAAGCTTCAGAGCCTCCAGCAAAAAAGGAGATTTCAGCTGGATCATCATCAATGAACTCCTCTGAAACATGAAGCTGAGAACTAACTAGCTTTACAAGAGGGGCATCCCTACCTTGAAGTTGACGCTGTTTACCAGCAATGACCATGCTTGTGGTAAAATCATCATCCTCATCATTGCCATTGTTGTAAGTTATCCTGCCTTCTTTGTTATACTTTTCTACTGCTATTTCTAAAGCACAATGATTCTCAACATCAGAACAAATGGGGTTGCAGCTTTCTTCAACATTACAAATCCCAACACCTTGGAATGACTGGAGGTTTGGTGATGCAGGTTGTTGTACCACTTTCTTCCCAGTTTCTTCTGTTATTATACTATTTCCTTCTGCTGATAAGCTCCCGCCATGTGACATTCTGGGTTCCAAAAAGAAAGAATTGCTTTCTGTCAAAGAGGACAAGCTGGCAATGTTTGAAGGTAATAAATTATCCATATGGAAGGAGGCATATGTGCATGCATTAGATGCTGGAATTCTTAACCCCTCTGTAAATGAGATACTCTGGAGAGAAAAGAAAATTTATTATTAGTTATTTCACCATGAATCAAAGAAGGTCAAACATAAACTATATAAATTAGCTTAGGATCTTATTCTCTAAGATCATGAAACTAGTATAGCATGTATACTTCAATAGCAACAAAACTTTTTTTTAAAATCTTGGCTCCATTTCCAGGTTTTAGCAGCCCATTTTATTTTAGTTATAATGCACAGAAATATAAAAACTGCATGTCTTTTGTAACTAGGAAAGATATGTGACTTTTACATTACTATTCAAATGACAATGCAATGAAATATTTGGGTTCTTAGTATTCTCTGAGCCTGTTTTTTTTCTGCAAACATAGTATGTAACATTATCAATGCACTGAAGAGAGACATTTGTTGGTTGTTTATATGACAGCTTGCCCTTCCAAATTTCTTGAATTAACTTTCAAAACAAACCACACGTAAAGAGATGCTATATTATTTCAGAATGTCTTAAAAGAATTTCCTATTTTCATGGAAATGAGTTAAGAGAGTATGTGAATCCACACTACTGGTATAGTGTGACAGCCATTTTGTATTTTAATTCACTGTGAAATATATATTTATGCAGTATTTATATTGTTTTTAATTTTTTGTCAGCCACCCAGAATTATATTAATTGCAAAGATGGCTATGAAAATGGACAGAAATAGTTCAAATCTAAATGCATTTCATCTTAATTGTGTATGAGTATATGTATACACTTTATGACATACAGGTACTCAACTTATGACCACAACTGTGCCCCAAATTTCTCTCGCTAAGAAAAACATTTGTTAAGTGAGCTTTGCCCCATTTTGTGATTTTTCTTGCCACAAGTTGTTAAGTGAATCACCACAATTCTTAAGTTAGTAACATGGGTTGTTAAGTGAATCTGGCTTTCCCATTGATTTTGCTTGTCAGGTGGTTGCAAAAGGTGATCACATAATCTAGGGACACAGCAGCCATCATAAATATGAGTCAGTTGCTAAGCACCTGAATTTTGATCACATGACTATGGAGATGGTGCAATGGTCATTAGTGTGAAAAACTGTCATAAGTCACTTGTAACTTTGAATAGTCACTAAATGAACTGTTGTAAACCGAGGACTACCTATACAATTTTGTTTTTGCAACTTTAATAAATGAATGCTCTACTGGCTTTTCATACCATGCAGGTAGCTCCTGCATTTTCATTGTAAGATTATATTGGTGGCAGTACTTATGGGAGTACATGCAGCAAAGAGACATGATTGGTAGCATCAAAGAACTTAGCAGGCAGAAGAAAAATTATAGATGTAAAACTGAGGATTGTTGATGAAATCTGATCTACAGAACAATGTAGTAAAAAAGTTTCTTTGAATCCACATTATTCTGCTCTATCAATTTTCTGATAAATGCCTATACATTGGCAAATATAGTAGGTGAGATTAAGGTTAAACAGTTTGCAAATCAAGTAATAGTAGATTACTATTAGAATAGTAATAGCTGGCTTGCAAGTACTTTTCATAAATGATCTCTGAAGTTGTGCATGTGCATTGTAAATATACACGTGTGTATATATGCATGTGCACAAACAATGATACCATTTTCACACCAATCAGACATCGTGATTTTATTGAGAAATAGCCAGAAATTCTTACATAAACCATGCAAAGAAGTTATGAGTTGGAGACAAGAAGATTGGATTACTCAGTGCTTTTGGTATGCCAAGCCAGGACACTTATTCTGTTACCACTAAGAGGTGATGTATTTTCAAAACTGGGTAGGAACTGCTTTTTCTGTTACAACTGTATTTTAACATAATATCTATAAGATCTAAACTGTCTTTTTTCAGTCCATCTTAAGGTAAAGTTGAAATTGCAAACCTCATGATTTTAAACATCTAGCCTAAATTTTTGCCTGACTTTTCTTTTTCATTACTATTTGGATTGTTGAAATTAGGACCTTGCATACAATTTTGTGTGTGTGTTAATTTGATAAAGCTATGTCCCCGCTATTTTAAATGGAGTTTAGATTTTAAGCGTCTGGTATATGTTCATTAAATGTTTCCTTTGTATAAACATCACCTTATTTGGATCCTATTAAGGAACAAAATGCAGGTTATTATGTTTATTTTATGACTGGGAGGTGAAATATATCCTCATATGATTAAATTAATTTAATTTAATGATGCAACTTTAAGGAATAATGATGGTCAGAGTAGTTTATAACTATGAGAGATTCTCTGTTGAAAATCAGCAGCTGTTCCAATTTAACAAATACACTTCTATTCAAGGCCTAAGATCAGTAATTATATGACTATGCTAACTATATTCCAGTAATCAGACAAATCCACATTCTTATCAGAAATGACACTTACTGAAAAGTTTAGCTATTATGCAAGATCTTTTAAATATATATATATACTGGTAATACCTGCCCATTACTTAAATTCCTTATTGAAAAGAGATAATATCCAATATTTAGTAAAAGAACTTGAATAAATCGCACAGTTCCACCCGTTTAATTTTGCTGATAGTTTGAAACACTATACCCATTTCACAACCTCCATAGCAAACCTGAAACTAAGACCTGGTTTTGGCAAAGGCATATGGAATTTAGCATGGGGGAATTTGAGAGAAAAAACTTGAATCTTCTTGCTGTCAAGACAATCCTATTTTGTAGGTTTTTACCAACTAATTTTGGTTAGCATAGTACACAGCGATATAAAGTACATCAATACAATTCTATAAGATACATAATGCATAATTACCTAATACCATTGCCAAAAGTAAAAAAAAAAGAGTGCCTATTTTAAATTTAAGAAGCATCAAGTGATTTTCATAATCTTTTAAATCATGATACTTTTCTTAAAACAGGTTAATTTCAAGACTAACCTGTTTGGGTGCATCAGGACTCAAGGTGTGAGCAGACATTCTAGTTTTGCTATGCCTCCTGTAAACAAAGAAGTTGATACATGCAACTGAGAAATAATTCAAGCTCTCGTTCTGCTGTATACAAGTTAAAAAAATATTATTTTACAAGAGATTATCTCTCAAGCTGATATACTGTGTAAAAATATGAAACTCAGAACTTTCTCTTTCTACATTCATAATTTAATTTCCTATAAATTTTTGTTTACAAATTAGAAATGCAATATTCAAAATGTAATATGTACAACAAATGTAAAAGTTACTAGTTTTTATATAAAGTAAACACAGTATTAAAATATCTAAAGTAATATTGCTTAAGAAAAAAGCAGTAAAGCCAATTAAATTCTAAATATAATTAAGCAAAAATGGAGGCAATCTGACTTGCTTAGAGAGTTCTTCAGATCTCATTTTATCTCCTTTTCTCATTGTCCTAAGTCTGTTGGTGGTTGAACACGCAATAGGATCTCTGAAGTTTAGACTATCAAATATCTAGATGGAGGAAAACAATGGCTCTGACAAAACAGACCTCTAACCTACCTGACCAGCAAACCAAATCATTCCTTCTAGTTCCACATTCTGAAAAGATTCAGTCACATCACATGGAATGTAGATTCCTAAACAGCTCATATTCTAATATTTATTTTAGGAAGCTGTAGATTATGAAGTTTTTTTCTTGACTTCAGATACATCAAACATAGTATTCATACAAGTTCAAAGATAGTAGACATTTTAAGAATGTCTAACTTAATATTTTAGAATTAAAATATATATTAATCATGTAGCAGGTTTAGGATAAAATTTCCCAGGTAAACATCACAGAATATGAAGTGGGAATTCTGGAACCATTTTTATCAGTCAAAGTAGCAATGAGCTTAAAGGACTAATAGCCTGCCTTTGCATATTACAATTTCATATGTATACTGATACCCAATACAACTCTTTTTTTTTTTTTAAACAAGTTTTATTAATTTTTAAAACACACAAATTATCATTGTTCATTACATGTTTAAACCTTTTTTCATTGTAAATTTAACAAGTCAGATAAATTATGATTCTGTTTTAAACCATTTCCATTTAACATACCAAAACCTCTTATTCAATTTCTCTTTACTTCTCTTTACTCTTATTCAATATCATTATTATTATTTCATCTATTTCTTTCTGACTTAGTTACCATTATTCTCATTCTATATTTCTACAAGTTTTTACTAATTCTCCCCCCCAAAAAAACATATACACACAACACACAAAACATAAAAAAAAATCTTTTTGGAAAGTACCGTATTTATCGGCGTATAACACGCACTTTTTCCCCCCTGAAAATAGGGGGCAAATGATGTATGCGTGTTATACGCCGATATAATGTTAAGAAGCCTTCGGTGAATGCTGCTGGGATCGGGGATCAAGGACACAAATGAAAGAAGGGGAGGGAGGAAGCAACCGAAGCCTGTCCTTCTCTCTGGGTCAGCTCTCTCAGTCGCTCTCTCGCTCCTCCACCAGCACAGGAAGAAACTGCTTCAAAGAAGCGGGGGGGGGGGGGGGGCTTTTCCTGTCGCCGCAGCTTCCCTGAAGCGCCCGTTTCTCCCCCACCCCCACCCCATCCGCCCGCCCGCCCGCCCGCAGTGCTCCGTTCTGCCTGCCTGCCTGCCTTCGTTAATGGTTGAATCGGAACAGCTTCGGCTGAGTAAAAGAGGCGAATAGTTATTATTCTCAGCCGAAGCTGCTCCCAAACAACCAGAAACTAAGGCAGGCAGGCAGGCAGGCAGAATGGGACACTGTGGATTGAAGCGCGCGCGCGGGGTGGGAGTGGGGGTGAAACGGGCGCTTCGGAATAGCTGCGGCGACAGGAAAAGCCCCCCCCCCGCTTCTTTG